GTTTACATCTAAATATCGTTTAATGAGTAGTGTGATTTCATATATGGCGGTGTGTCAACTGCCTACATTCTGAGTGCAGACTCCAAAACAGTTTTCCAGTGAGTCCTCCTTCATTTTACTTGTTTAAAGTAAGTGAGATGGGGTTCTACAAGAGAAGCTGGATTTTGCTTGATTTCACCGATGAGGACGTCATAGGAACAAACGTTTTCATAAGGTGACATGCCACGAGACCGGTCGGTGCCTAATAAATTTAAATAGAACTGACAGGCGTGATCGTGAACGTGCCATTTTGAGTTAACAGAGATGAATATTCTTCCGTTAAATTAATTTACACTTCTCTTTCGTTTTAGATAACGTTGAGTTTCAAATCGGCCTCGAAATGTTGCTGAATACTTAGTGATTTTCAGTGTTTTCACCCGATCGTCCATAAAGGCAGTTTTTGAATTGCCTGTCTGTTGAGAACTTAAAAATAAGATTATTCTTTAAGGCATTTAGCGAATTAGTGAGTGTTCGGGCGCTCCTTTTCACGAAGATGGTCGTTTGGGTCACGTTTGAAGACTCATTCAAACATAAAACTTCATTTTCGAGAAAAATGTCTGTCCACAACGACAGTCAGCAACGAATACGCCTTTGATCAATGAAAAAAACTTTCGGTAGCAAGTTACCTCTTTAAGAAGTGCTTTATTACTGCACTCCGCTGATGGAATTGATAAAACCTCTGGTTTTCTTAAGCTAACCTTTGAGTTAGCAGGTGGATCAACATGGCTATCATCGAATTTAAAATAAAATTTATAGTCCGGCTAAACCTTTTTAGTAAAACTCTAATGGGCAAATTAATATCCTTTCAGTGAAAAAGCCGCTCAGATGCGTAACCGGATTCTAAGACACGTATTAGTATAGGAAATTACACGAATATCATCCAACGTCCCTTTTCGCTAAAATTTACAGATATTTTAGTTGATATAATTACGTAAACACAATTTCTGCACAAGAAAAGGACATTTTATTGAAGGAAGCGGAAGAGCGAACAAAATGCTCAACGTTAAAGGCGTCCAGAAATTCTCTCATCAGCTTCCATTTTCAGATTTCCTGAGATAGGTCACGTACTGTAATATGTTTAAGATTACGCCGATCACCGATTGGCCTGGCAGCATGAGACGTTATGTAAATTTCTGTTCTTAAGACGTCCCCAACAGCGAAGCCAAGCAAAATCTAGTTTCTCCTGTTGAACCGCATCTCAATCAGCCCAAGTAAGTCAAAAATACCGCGAAATCTCCGCAAACTGTTTTCGAATTTACACTCCGACTGAAGGCCGTTGACAAACCGTCATACATGAGATTACACTAACTCTTATACGATACTTAGATGTGGACTTCACAGAAAAAAACACTATGTTTGATCGTTATGTGATTTGTACATTGATATTTACTGCGTTTTGATGGATAAGAAGACACTCTTTACGTCTAAAAACTAAACTAAATTACAGCCATTTTTGACGTTTCCAGGATTTTGTGCTTTTCTAAAAAAATGGGCAGACTCAGGTACACGGTGAATCAGTTGTCAGCGATAAATTGCCTGTGAATTGATTGCAAATCTGTAGTCCTGTATTACGTCAAAACGCATGTTGTTGTCATTGCATTAAGGTTAAGTGCGTTGTATTCACAAACCGAGAGTCAACCACGAACAGTTTCACGCCAGTCTAGGTACATCGCTTAGCAGTAAAAAGTACTCATCTGGTGCGGACGAAGGCGGATGCGCGGGGTTTCGTATGTCCATGCGAAAAAACCAGCAAATAAAATGGCTCAGGTAGAATAACTTGAATGACAGTTCTCTGAGTAAAGTACGCAAATAAATATTCAAAGGGCATGTGTACGTGAACTATGACATTTGGCCAACACTACTATACCTCCTACACTGGAGACAAGTCAGTCTTAGTCCTGAGACCAATCCTATCCTCAAAAAGCACAACCTATCAGAAGTTCATGTAAACACGGCATACTGACAGGATAGTGCGTATATTGCAGCCAACATTCAGGAGATATCTTTAGGGACCAGGGTTTGTCGAGTACTAACGCGATTGCAGGATTTCTTATAAGCAGAGATTTCAGACGACAGCCGTCCAGTCAGAGGTATCCGTAAACAAATAGTATGGAGCGCTGCTGTGAGACCATAGAGCAGACTGCATTTGTTTGCCCTACCTTCAATACTAGAGAAAACTTAAACATTTAACTAGTTTGGAGCTCGAAGTTCGGCTTGGTGACCGAACTTTCCTGAAGACTCCAACGTTAAGAACGCAACCAACGACAATCTCGGCGACTTCAATGGATGACTTCTTTGTCAAAATGACCGACAATTCAGTGCTGACTGGACGACAGTCATGGCAAAATGATTTACATTATATTGGTGGCAGACTTGCGCAGCATTTACCTCCACGCGTGGCACGACGTTACCCGAAAATTGGTTGCAAACCTGCAGTTCTGCATTACGTCATGGCGAATGACGCTCTCACTAGATTAGGGTTAGACGCATCGATCACAAACGAAGTGCCAGCCACGAGCAGTCCCACGCAAGCCTAGGTGCATCGTTTGGCAGTAAAAACTACTCATCTGGTGCGGAGGGAGGGAGTTGGTGGCTGGGTGGGGTTTCGTGCGTGCAGACTGGAGTCGCACTCGAGTTGCGTGTGTAGCATAGGGGCATCCACCCAGTGACAAGAGGATGACACACTCTCAGCACGGTCTTCACTGCATGCTCGCAGCGGCTGGTGCTACGAATTAGACCAGTTCTTCCCTCAAGCTTCATGTAAGCATAGGTGATTCCGATGGTGGATGTATGGAGTTGAGGGCTTTCTGCGGTTGTACGTCACACACCGTCGTCTGTTGTAAACTGTGTCGTCGATCAGAATTAGGCAAACGCAGTTTAGAAACCCACAGGTTGAAAATTGCAACGCATTCTTCCACGCATGGAATTAGGGTTTGTTCTTGGGCAGGATTAACATCAGTTAGACATGTATCATGGCAGGAGTTCGCGAATTGAGGTAGGGATTCGAGTTCTGGTTTTCAAATCTACATCGTACACATAGCTACCTACTACATTGTCTTCAGTGGGCCTTGTTTGGTGTATTCGGTAAGATCTACATGACGTCATGCCC